CATAGGTGATCTAAATGAGGGAGTCACTACTAGATCTAGATAAGTCATAACAAGTTATTATTTCGTGTCTAAAATTGAACCAAAGAATGTCAAGGAAGCCTTAACTGATGAATTCTGGATCAATTCCATGCAAGAAGAGCTAGGGCAATTCAATAGAAATGAAGTATGGGATCTTGTTCCAAGGCCTGAAGGAACAAATGTGATTGAAACAAAATGGGTATACAAGAACAAGTCTAATGAAAAAGGGGTGGTCACCAAAAATAAAGCCAGATTGGTTGCTCAGGGATACACTCATATTGAAGGGGTTAACTTTGATGAAACTTTTGCTCCTGTAGCTCGCCTTGAATCCATCATATTACTTTTGGGAGTTACCTGCATTCTGAGATTCAAGTTGTTTTAGATGGATGTTAAAAGTTCCTTCTTAAATGAACACCTAAATGAAGAGGTCCATGTGGAACAACCTAAGGGATTCATTGATCTAACTTTTCCCAATCATGTTTATAAGTTGAAGAAAGCTTTGTATAGACTGAAGCAAGCTCCAAGAGCTTGGTATGAGAGACTAACAAAATTTCTTGCTGATAATGGATACAAAAAAGGTGGCATAGATAAGACTTTGTTTGTCAAAGAAGAAGGAGGAAAGATCATGGTTGCTCAAATCTATGTTGATGATATTGTATTTTGTGGGATGTCTGATGAGATGGTTCAACATTTTATCCAGCAAATGCAGTTAGAATTTGAAATGAGCCTTGTCGGTGAATTAACTTATTTTCCTGGGTTGCAAGTTAAACAGATGAAAGATTCTATATTCCTATCTCAGAGTAAATATGCCAAGAATATAGTTAAGAAGTTTGGGATGGAGAATGTCAGTCACAAAAGAACACCTGCTTCTACTCATCTTAAGTTGTCTAAAGATGAAAAGGGTGTAAATATGGATCAAAGTCTCTATAGAAGTATGATAGGGAGCTTGTCATATCTTACAGCAAGCAGGCTTAACATTGCTTTTGTTGTAGGTGTGTGTGCTAGATACCAAGCTGAACCCAAAGTGAGTCATATCAATCAAGTAAGGAGGATTCTGAAGTATGTTAATAGAACAAGTGAGTATGGAATGTTATACACTCATGGATCTGGCTATGTGTTATCTGGGTATTGTGATGCTGATTGGGCTGGAAGTGATAATGATAGGAAAAGCACATCAGGAGGTTGCTTCTTTTTGGGGAACAATCTTATATCATGGTTCAGTAAGAAGCAAAATTGCGTCTCTCTGTCTATTGCTGAAGTTGAGTATATAGCAACTGGAAGTAGCTGTTCTCAACTGGTGTGGATGAAACAAATACTGACTGAATATAATGTCACACAAGATGTCATGACATTGTATTGTGACAATTTAAGTGTTATAAACATCTCCAAAAATCCTATTCAACATAGTAGGACCAAACATATTGATATTTGCCATCACTTTATAAGGGAGCTTGTTGAAGACAAGATCATTGACTTAGAACATGTTGCTACAGAGAAGCAGCTAGCTGACATCTTCAATAAGGCATTGGATGCTAGACAATTTTAAATTTTAAGAGGCAAATAAGGGATTTGCATTTATGAGGATTTGTAGCAATTATTGCTGAGTGGAAATATCATTCAAGAGATTTTGTATTTTCCAAAAATAAAGTGTCTCCAACTAATGCAATCATTTCAAATACCTTAAAAGATATTTTCACACGCTACCTTAACCTCACTTATCATTTCAAATGCTCTTTCATCTCCCATACTCTCACAGAACTTTTGCTTGAACACCATCGTCCATACACAAAATTCTCAAGATGTCTCAACAACATAGTCCAAAGGTGAAGTTTGACTATGATTATGAAGCATGCTACTACTAATGCTATCAAATTTCCCATTGCATTTCCTTCACTGATTTGTGGGATCATTCTAAGCCAGTATCTGGGTATTCTCTCTAGTAATGATGTGGTTTGCAAAAGGGATTTTGTGTTGTCTCTCCATTATAAATTGTTTGCAGGATGACATGTCTTAGACATTGTCTTGACATCTGTTGAGATGAAACCCTCTACCAAGATCGGGCTTATCTCAGAGTTAAAGGAAACTTGCAGAAATTTGGGAGAAGTCATTCGTGTAACTACTGCAAGGAAGCTGAAATTAGAAGCCTTGATTAGAAGTCTAGAGCAGACTGAAGGTAATGATGTTGAGGTTGCAGATGCATATGAAGAGGAAGTTGGGGAGGATTCTACCTCTGATGAGAGGACTGGTGATATTGAGGGTCATGATTCTGGGTCTACTGCTGGTGATGAAGGTGGCAACTCTGGTTTTTCTTTTAGCACTTAATGTGCTTTGGCTTGTAATTTTTTGTGGTTTCATTATGCACTATTGACACTGTTGACTCTGTATGCTTATTCTCTACTTGTTCTATGATAATGGTTTTCTCTTAGTGAAATTTCTTTAATTATGGCTAAAAAGGGGGAGAAGTAGTATGAGGGATGTTGTGTTGTTGCTGTTGTTTCTGGGTTGAGGGGGAGCATTTTTTCTGGTGTTGTGGTATGGTTCTCTAGCACTTTGGTTTGAGGGGGAGTTTTTTTTTCCTTTGTGATGTGTTAGGTTTTTATGTGTTTTGCTGCTGCTGTTGTGCTCTCTGACGTGTTCTAGTAGCTCTTGTGATCAATTGGTTGTTTTAGCCAAAATTTGCCAAAGGGGGAGTTTTTTAGTTCTGCGATTGACAGCAATTTTGGTAAAACTTGGTGTTATCACAAGATGTCCTATATGATGTCTTGACATGTGATCTTAATATTCTGCATGTGGTTATTTTTGTTGTTGCAGGGTTTAGTTCATGATGTCAAGTATGATGCCCTGACATATGTTTACAGAACATTCAGTCAGAATGTTATGTTTTGTATGTTGCGTTTTTTTCTGCAATCTTTTGTGTGCCTTTGTTAAGTGATTGCTTGCGCAAATCAAGGCGTGACCTTATTTGAAGCAAGTATGTTCTATTTCCTTTTGAAGAATGGTTTGTTGCTATTTTTGTGCAAAAATATATGGAGAATAATTAGCTTTAATTATGGATTACTTTTGCCCAAGCCCATGAAGAATGATTTCTATTTAAAGGCGTGCTAACCCTACTTGCAAGGCAGAGAAAAGATTTTGAGAAAGTTGCGTTTTGTCTTTTGTTAGTTGTTTTCTTCCATTCATTCATCACTTTAATGTGTGAATTGGACTGAGTTCTTTGAGTTGTAAGTTGTCAACTCTGAGCTTTTAAGCACGAGCGTATTGTTCTTGATTGAAGCTTTTAAGCAAGATCAAGTGTTGTCCTTGAAGTGTCTCTTCTATTTTTTGATCTTCTGTTTTTATCACTGCATGTAATTGAGGGGGAGTGAGAGGTGTCTCATATCTGAGAGTGTCTTAGATAGAAGTTACACGGGTAGAGATTAGGTGTGAAGATTGTAAACTAAAGAGAGTTTGCTGAGAATCTTCAAACTAATTTTGTTTAATGGATTTTCTTTCTGGCTTGGTAGCCCCCAGACGTAGGTGTGTTTGCACCGAACTGGGTTAACAATTCCTTGTGTCTTTTTACAATTGTTAACTGCATTTTATCTTGTTCATACATTGGTAATTGTTCAGATATTAGTGTCGTGACATCTCTTTCGACATCTCATATCTGATAGTAGAATTTCAGGTTGCTTTGGTTCTTGAGCTTCTGTGCTTTGACAGGAGAAAGAACGGAGAAGCAGAGGATTCTCACAGACGACACTACTGATCTTACCTGATCAAAAAGGAGTTAGTAGCCTGCCACGCGTCGTGAGTTGCTGCCTTCACCGATATTGTGAAGGAGAAAATGGGGTGTACCTGCAAGATGCTTCGATGCTTAAGTGAGTACCGAAACTAGAGAGAGCAAGTACAGAGAAAATGTGTAGTGAATGGAATACCTGACCCTCTAGTGAAAGAGGGTATTTATAATGTGCCCCTAGCGCAGAGCTAATAGTTATATTCCATTGGGCCGAATTGCCAAGCCCAACGCAAGTAACTGTCAGGGCTTACGTGGCGTAGTGAAGACCAGCACATGGTCTTCGTCTTGGATCAACTGTCCCGTGATCTTCGAAAGATGGGCTGATCATCTCTTTCGGAAGTGGGTAGTTGCCTGATGACGTGTCCTCGCGTGAGGGACACGTGGAGAACGTGGAGAAAGCGCGTGAGCTCTCCCCGTGTCAGATAATGCTCTACCCGACTGGTGAGCCTTATTAAGGCTTGTGCTCGACAGAGAGGATTGAACCTTGTTGGCCCTCATCAGCATAATATTGGGTTGGGTCTGCCCGTTTGAGGGACAAGTCTCAATCCAGTCTAGAACACTTTCTTTATTGTTTTCATTAAAAATTAGGAGTCGAATTTAAAAATTAACACTCACATGTCTTATTTCCACCCCTATTTATAATAACTCCGATCTTATTATTTATTAAAATAAATAATTAAATTGTAGATTTTCTTTTTGGGTAAGAAATATCCTGACTCAAATTTCACCTTGATCTTAAATAAATATGATGCATAGATTCGAATAAATATATTCTTAAATAAGTATGATTTTGAATAAGTATAATATGTATATCCAAACATGCACTTCTATGAAAAAAATTCTGAGTTTTAAAATAGAGAATTCAAACTTAAAAAAAAGAAGCGAACCAAAATTCCCATTAAATCAAATTTAAAAGATAGCAAAAGAGATGACAAATTATAGTTAAATTTTTTTTATCGAAGAAAAAGAGTAATAGGGTAACCATTTCTATGTTCGGCCGGATAGAGGCGTCTCCGAGATAGAATACTTGACACAGTGCGGCAGTTTCCTCCGTCAACGACCATACATCCACACCCACACTTTATATTCTCCAAAACATTATTTCACATTCTTCAACAACCCAGCTTCTTAATTTCCTTTACTCACATTTTCAAAACCTAAAACCACAATTTCACTTCTCTATTCTCATCAACTTTCAATTCTAACCATGTCAAATAGAAACCGCGGCCACCCTCATCCTCCTCCGCCACCTCACGCCGCCATATCTCCCCCGATCCGCGATCCAATCTTTTCCATGCGAGGCGGAGGAGGAGGCCATCCTCCACATCCATCCCTCTTAGAAGATTTCCGTGAATCTCAATTAGGGCTAGGCCACCGTCCCCCTCTTCACCTCCACCCCGCCGCCGTCATCGAGGAGCGTCTTGCAGTGCAGCATGGAGAGATTCAGGGTCTATTAGGTGACAATCAAAGATTCGCTGCCACACACGTGGCTCTGAAACAGGAGCTGGAGGCTGCTCAGCATGAGCTGCAGAGGATGGCGCATTTTAAGGATTCTCTTAGGGCTGATACTGAGGTGAGGATGAGGGAGTTGTATGAGAGGGCGGGTCAGTTGGAAGCAGAGCTCCGTGGCGCTGAGGCGGCTAGGGCGGAGCTTCAACAGATTCATGGGGATATTAAGGAGCTTACTGCTGTTAGACAGGATTTGTCTGGACAGGTGCAGGCTATGTCGCAGGATTTGGCGAAGATGACTGCTGATTTGAAAAGGATGCCGGCTTTGAGGGCCGATGTCGATGCTATGAAACAAGAACTGCAATGTGCAAGGTAGTACTAGTGTTTAATGTTTTAAACTGTGGTTGTGTGTGATTGTAATTATGTTGTGATCTTTGATATTGTGAAAATTTGCATACTGATATGATTTATGGGACCGAAATTGATGTTGTGTTGTAGTCAGAGATTCAGAAACGATCTTGATATTGTGACTGCAATTCATAAAATTGTTGGCATTGTGTTGCAATTTAAGCATTGACATTGTGACTGCAATTTATATATGCTGCATATGATTATGATTTAGTTATGATTTTCTTTTATCCATGTAGCCGACCCCACTTAATGGGATAAGGCTTGGTTGTTGTATGTACTGGTCATTGATTTGTGGACTGATTACTGAATATTGATTCACATACATGGAAATGTGCAAGAGTTGCAATCAATAATGGAGAAAGCCCTTTAACGATCATCGGTGGAGATGGAGATAGTAGTATGGGTCAAATAATACCTTGATATGATGTCCTAGTCCTATTATAAATTGTGTGAGAAGAGATCACATATCATTAAAGTTGAAATCATTTTCATGGTTTGTTGTATATGCATATATTTGTGATTTTAAATTTTGTTTTGAATGTTAGGTGTGTAGGTCAGGTGAGGCCTGCAGTATATGTTAACACTATTTTTATTTTTTGTTGCTTCTTCCCCTTTAGAGCTGCCATTGAGTATGAGAAGAAAGGATTCACGGAAAACTATGAACATGGTCAAGTGATGGAGAAGAAATTAATTTCCATGGCTCGGGAGATGGAGAAGCTCCGTGCCGAGATTGCAAATGCAGAGAAAAGAACACGTGCTGCTGTTGCTGTCACTGCCGCTGGGAATCCAGGTATAAAATTGAGCTTGTATGTGTATTTATATTTGCCTTGTGGAATATCTGATGATTAATTGACTACATCTTACCTCTTTTCTGGAAAAAAAAAAATTTAGACTAGTACTGTTTTAAATTTCTTTGCTGTCTTCTGCTTTGATTTTATTTGTAGGTCCAGGGTATAATGCAAATTATGGAAATGCTGAGCCCGGATATGCTGGAAATCCTTACCCGTCCTATTATGGCATGAACCAGGTAACATTTGTTATATTTCAAATGTATTTTCTTGAACATTGTTGACTTTATAATACGTATTTGATCTGAGCTGAGAAACTAAGTGGACCTGCCCTAATCATAGAATTGCTATTGCTTTTCATTTCTCAGTTAAATCACTTCCATTTAGGTTTTTTAGAAAATCTTTAAATTGTTTAGTACTTTGATTCAACAACCATTTTGACGAGTAATTGATTCAATTTTGTATACTGGATAGCCAATCATTGGTCGTGTGCACAAATACAAATTTCTTGCACACAGGAGGATGTAATTGATAGAACCGGTAAAATCAAGGTAATGAAACTGTATAATGGAAAAGATGAGCTCAAGAGCTCTACAATGGTGGAAATGGAAAATAAAAGGATAAACCAGAGTTCAAGAACTCCTAACCAGAGCAATACACTCCTACCTCAGGGAAACTCTCCTAACCAACTTCTCAACAACATTTCTGAATGCCTTCCTCACTCCCCTACACTCTCTTTATGACAGAAAATCCCCTAGAATCAAGGAGGTGCTGCTAACTAACTCTTTATTCCGTCTATTTCTACAATTTTCTAGAATGTGCCTAGGTGTCCTATCACTGCCACTCAGAAAATAGATTTGTCCTCAAATTTGAGTTTTAGATACAGTCTCCTAAATTGACCCGTGTGGTTGTGACGTGAACAACTTTCAGACAGCACTGACACGAGCAAACAAGCATAAGCTATGGCAAACATATAGAACTGTGGCGGGACCAACGTCAAACTGCCACTGCTAAACAGTTTCCAGGTTCCCACTGTCAGTAGCTTGCCAAGCTAATTGCAAAATATTGAGCCACCGGAATAGTCTCAACCACTCAGGTGGAAATTGTTAAATTCTTCCAAATTTACAGAGGTCAGTATTGCAGCAATCATAACTTTGGACTAAGAAAAATAGAGCTTATTAGAAGAATCCAATGTATTCGTAGTTGTCTCTTCTACAATTTCTAGAACTCTTACCAGACCAAATCTTTCCATCTTTGAGAAGATATTGGCAAGGTTGTCAAAATCGAGATCTTACATAAGATCAGGGGAGAATATCAAGATCGTAAAATATAAAATTGTAGCTAAAATCGGAAGATCCTACCCAATTATTTTTGTAAGATCGAGTGGGGGTAACAAGATCGTAAAACATAAGATCGCAACAAAAATCGTAAGATCCTGTTAAAATGAAAAAATAATAGTATATATTTAAAGTATTTTTACATGATATATGTTAGTAGGCAAGTGTATTCGTGAGAAAATGATTCTTTTTCATATTCTTTAGATTGAGTTTTTATACTTTATTACTACCACATGGAACATTTGTTAGACATTAAGGACATATTTAATCAATTACTAGGATTATCATAAGTAAATTGGTTAAAACAAACCCTATAAGTGAGATGTTTATTCTCAAAACTCTAAATCTAAAACTTCATAATTTCAAAAGGCGCGCATTTGTTCTCGTCAAACCAAAATTGTTGCACCTCTGTATCTTGTCATCCTTCTCACCTTTTAATGATGGTGGCCGAAAAACGGTCAATCATAGTCAAAATTGGCAAAGATCCCACATAATCAATGATTTTACGACTTTTTCACAATTTGGCTTCAACACAAGATTCTACTTAAGATCCGGGTTCTTGAGGGTGAATGAGATCGTAAAATTCTAAGATTTTAAGATCTGGATCGAGATCTTGAGAAATATCATATTTGTACATAAAGAAGACTTTAGTACTGATGCCATTTTTGTTTCCGTATTATATTCACTGTACAATTCAGAGATTGCTGCAACAAAGGTAGAGCATGCACCTGAGATGGAAGCAAGGGTTGACTTCGTGTATCCTATTCCTGTTGGATTTGACCTGGATCCGAGTCGGCTCTACCATGCCCCACGTTCTAATTATCTCTCCAATATACTAGAATTATGTTGGGCCTGGCCCATTGGGTTAAAATGATTCCGAAATTATCAATTTCCCAATTTACTCTTATTGTATCATCAATTCCCATTTTACCCTTACTTTCTCTAAACTCTTTCTGTAAAGATGTGAGGTCATAACGAGGTGCTTTAGTTGTAAAAGCCAAAAAGGTAAAGTGAGTGATGTATACAGATATACTTACAAGCAGAATCGACTTTGTTTCCCAGCCAATTTTTTGATATTACAGCCTATTATCCAATTGAGAAAGCGAGTTTAGCAAATATTGATCTAGCGGCAACACAGTTGTATCTCGAAATCATCACACAGCTCAATTCCCAGGTTTCGACTTTGCGGTCAAGATTGCTCATTTAGGAGGGGATATCGTTGGGAATGGGCTTGAGTACAATAGAAGAGATATGATCTGGATGGGTAATCCAGGAGGAATAAGGCGAAATTCAGTAATTAAACTCAGTTTCAACCTGTAACGGCTAATTTTATTTTGTGAAATTAAGGGGGTTTGGAATAATTACAAACAACAGCTGGTTTTATTATGGTACTCCCTCCATAACGAGATATAAGTAATATTTGGCACATCTAAGTTGTAATAAAATATAAGTAAAAATTGATTATTTTCACGCCATTTAGGGTCCGTTTTGGATTTTTTTTAAAATGATTTTTTAAGTGTAATATAATTGGTCAATTCGTTATGCGTGGATGACAGAATTGTATTGCGTAGCTTGCAAAGAACTAAGTTCATTTACTAGGTTCGTTTACTACCATAAATGCATTTGATTAGTTGTTTACAATCCTAAATGAATTTGACTATATATTTATTGTTTATTTTCCACGTTTATGCCGATTTGGATATGTTGTTTCATACTAATACTTCTACCGGTAAATTTCAGGTACAGCCTGGCGTGGAGAATTTTCAACAGTATGCACCTGGACCTGGACCTGCTGCTTGGAGTGCATATGAGATGCAGCGAGCTCAGGGACATCGATAGACTTCTATCGTGTTGCAAAATCTCATAACTGGTTACCTGGACTGCCACTTTCTAGATTGGTTCAAGGTTCTACTCATGGTAATCATGAGAAGTTGTTTCTTAGATACTCCTCAAAATTGTAGTTATTTAGAAGGCCTGTATTGGCTTGATCATGCAGTAGATGGTGTTTGTCTATGGTGTCAATGAATTGGATATATCTTGTTAATTAGTAACAGCCTATTTTTTTTGAGGTGTGGCATTTATGCTAAAGCTTACACCTGTCTTTAGCTTATGTTTTTCTTCCTCTCCTGTCTCATATTGATATATAACGTTGGTTATCATCAACCTTGTTCACTTACAGTTAGGTTTTATGTAAATATTAGCTGCGGTTAATCAACACCAAAGATAACGAGTTAAATAAAAGCTGTTCTTTTGTTCCTTCGTTCACTTGTAAGTTGTAATAGACTTTCTGAAAATTGTTTGAATTTGTTTAAGTCAAGACATCATATAAAATATAAAATAGTAATGTCTAAGAATATTCTAGAAAACATAATAATATAAAATAATTTCTAATTCAAAAATAATAATAATAACTCATTTATCTAAGGATAAAATATTCTATTAACCTCCCTATCATTCCACTCCAACTTGTTCATCTCTGCCACTAATATATTATTCACATAAAGCTCCTACATGTAAGATCTCTACACTTGAATTTACTTTTAAACAATTCTTATGGGTGGTAGTGAGGAAGAGAGTAAAATTAATTGGATTAGTTAGGATAAGGTCTGTATTTCTTTAGAATACGGTGGTTTGGGAATAAGAAATTTGGAATTTTTGATCTTGCATTGTTAGGAAAATAGGAGTGGAGATTAGATCAGAATGGAGTAGAGGTAGATTGTTTGGGTGGAAAGGTATTTTCCAATTAAATATAGGTGATCGAGAGTCTACTCATGCTTACTCAGTAAAAAAAAAGTCTATAAGGGTTTTGTTTTTTTACAGAAATGTCAAGCTCTTCTAATATGTTATGGTAGAAAGATTTCCATAAAACAATACCATCAAAAGTTTCATGTTTGGTGTGAAGATTGTTTCAAAATAGAATTGATTCAAATGATAACATATATAGATGATGTGTGATTGGACATGGATATTTACCGTATGTATGAATGAGGGTGTGAGAGTGTAAAGTCGGTACCTCATATGTTTTTAGATTTCTGACTTATGAGTTTAAAAGCCTTGCAGGGTTTGTTGCATCTGTGGAGCAATTTTGTGGTCTGATTGGTAGTGACATAGCATTCTAAAAGTGTTCTAGTGTGGTGTGGTTTGAAAGTGCTTAGAGGAGCATTTAAAAGTTAAGAATAAAAAAAAAATCCCACGATAAAGATATTTACATAAAAAGATGGTAGATGATGTAAATAAGACCATCTTAGAAGATATCATTGTCTCAAATTTTCCACAATGAAATTGAGCTAAGTAGGCCTCTATAATAGAGTTGAAATTCCATAATAGAGTTGAAACGGTTAAACCATAAATAAATAAGATTCTATCACAGTTGAATAATAACTAACTTATATAAAAATTTTAAAAAATTAAAACGCCACTAACTGTGAAAACAACTTGGTGAAACTGATTACATATTAAAAAAGAAGCAAATATAGGATTGAACAATGGTGTTTGAGTCCAAAGTCTTGCCTTAGAGATATATATTATGTGAGGGTTTAATGTGCATAGTAAGTTATTTCATCGTTTGCATGGAGTGATAATATCAGAATTCGCAGGCTTAGGTTGCTTGCATATTGGTGATTTTTTTTTGGTAGAATGTTTGTGTTGTTGTAAATTCTATAGAACAATAATTTTAGTATTTGTATCGATAGTAAATGATATTTTTTGTTATTCTTATTTTTTTTAAAATAATAAAGCCTCTAAAATAGGTAGTCCGTTTAATGAAACATTAAGTGTGATTTAATCATGCGATTTCAATAAACATAAGAATATTATTTTTAAAGTATACATAATCAAACACTATTGTGAAGTGGGATAACATTAAAACATTGAGACTATTATTTGGAATGATTGATGATCACATATCATGGATCGTGGATAAAGAGTTATCAAGTATTCACGTATGTATGAATGTTAGGAGTAATATTTATATTGGATTCATCCACCGTGAGAATATTACACAGAATGTTATGCAAATGTCATAAGTTATTCTCAAAGTCATAGTGGTATATGGAACCTTCGACCTAACACCACTATGGATCATAGATATAGAGTCCATACCTTTATTTCTGTTCAGGGTTGGACTAGAAGCTGCCCCACCGTCGGGCACGACCCAACCCGTTTCTTTTTCGGGGAGGGCCCGACTTATCACATCACACAAGAGCACTTACGCGTCTCCTCCGCGGTCTCCACGTGTACCCCACGCGGGGACACTTAATCAGGTAACTACCCACATTCCGAAGATCACAGGGCAGTTGACCTAAGACGAAGACCATGTGTTGGTCTTCCCTACGCCACGTAAGTCCTGACAGTTACTCGTATTGGGCCTAGCGATCCAACCCAATGCAAAGTAATCGTTGGCCCTACGCTGGGGGCACATTATAAATACCCTCTTTCAGTAGAGGGGCAAATATTCTATTCTTTCTACACCTTCTTTGTACTTGCTCTCTTTCACTCCGTTTCTCACTTTGGCATCAAAGTACCTTACAGGTATTCCCCCTCATCTTCTCCATCACCGACGAATTAAAGAGCTCACGACGTGTCACTGGCCACTGATCCCTTTCTGATCCGGTAAGATCAATGGCGCCGTTTGTGGGAAACTTACTTCCCCGTTCTTTCTTCTATAAAAACTTAAGAACCAAAGCATACTTCAATCTCTGTTGATCATGGTCAGCCCACGCACCGACGACAACGTTCAGAAAATTGCCTTCACCACTTTCACTAATGGTGACGATCACGATCCCAACGTGACAGCTCACGTCGATGAAGGCGACGCCAAGAACGAGCACACTGCCTCTCCCTCCCCCGGCAATGCGACCTTCAATGCCGCCCAACGCTTCGACAACCCGGCTATCTTTCAGCCAATACCTGTGCCGCCCAACGCCGACCCGACCATGGTGGCTTTGTTCGTGGAAATCAATCAGACAAACCTGATGATCTTCCAACAGAACGAGCGAATCAGAATGTTGGAAAAGGAGCGACAATCACTCTCTCCCCCGCGGAGACATTGTCGCCCAGTTTTTCGCAGTCTGTCCCCGCGACGACGAGAAACCCGTCCTTCCCATCCCCCGCGGAGGCCCTAATGTGATGAGTCTTGGAGTCCCTCTCCATGACAACCTGGGCGTCGTCCGCGACTAGAAAGGTCTAAGCCCGTGGCCGTCCAAAAGCGTGACCTCTCTCCTCCCCAAAAAGAGCGACGCTCCCCAGATCCCAAGAGAAGCATAGCTGACGGGTAGACTGGGAAACCGAAGAGTCATTCGAGAAGCCCTCCACGCCGCGGCAGGAGCCCTCCGTACGACCCTTCCCCCTCATAATCACCCATCAGAAGCGACAAAGACAACCCCCCACACTCCGCTGTCTAGAGCTATCAGGGAGACTCGCCTCCCCTTAGGGATGGAGAAACCCCTAGCACTGGGCACCTACGATGGTACGACCGATCTAGACGACCACATTGAAAGCATCAATGTGATGCTCGACTACAGAAACGTCTAGGGAGCCATCAAGTGCAGGATCTTTCCTATGATCTTGAGGAAGGGCACGATGGCATGGTATAAGAGCCTCGAGCCCGAATCCATCACCTCCTAGACAGAGCTGAAGAGGCACTTCTCCAGGAACTTCACTGCTTTCCGACGACACATAAAGATGGAAGCATCCCTGAAATCCATCATTCAGGGGAATGAAGAATCTTTCCGAGACTACATAGAGAGATTCAATCGACAAGTTGTACAAGTATCTACCTCGGACGACATGAAGAGATATCTGATTGAACGAGGACTGCGACCTCGCATTGAGTTTTCCAAGATCGTCGGCATCGAAAGGCCTAACACGCTAGATGCGGTCCTTCACAAGGCCCAAGCCTACATCTAGTGCGAGGAGAAAGAGGCCGCCAACTGCGTCCGCGAATTGTGGAACCAGGAGAGTGCTAGAAATTTCAGGCACAAAGACTCCACCGCTCCCCGATGAGGAGGGGAGAAAAGAAGAGAAGATCGACCCCGAGACTCCCGAGAGAAAAGGGGCCCAACATGCCCATTCACCGAGTATACGCTACTCACAGCTCCCTGCGAGCGCATTCTGGCCGAGTGCATTAACTCAGAGTTTCAAAGAGGTGTTGTCCGCTTCCCGAAGCTGACACTGCCTAAGCCCAACATGGACAAGTCCAAGTACTTCCAGTTCCACAGGAGTCATGAACACGTCATATAATATTGCATCCACCTCAAGGATGTTATCGAAATCCTAATCAAGGAGGGGCACCTAAAACAATACACTCGAAGGAATGAGGTTCCTCGACGGGAAACTCACGAGGCGAAGAGGGTCGAGGAGGTGCCACCACCCTCCGAAGAGACCGGGCTACAAGTCATCTTGTGCATCTCCCGGCCATAGGACTTCTACCTCCCCTACGAGGCCGACAAAACATTGTCTGCTCGCAGCCCTTGGGAGAACTTCCCATCCTCCATGGTCATATCGGGCGGGGGTCCCAACAAGCTTTCAGTAGGGTCGGTCAAGAGGAATTTGAGAAGATGATCGGTAAGAGTTCAAAGCAGATCACCATCCTCGATAAGCTCAAGGATAACTCAAACCTGATTACCTTCTACCTCGAAGAACTACATGGTGGCACCCTTAATTCTGGCATCCCCCTACTGATCAGGGCCCAGATGGAGAACTTCGACTTCCGCCGCATTCTCGTCGACCAAGGAATCTCGACGGACATAATGTATGTTGAATTGTTCACCACTTTCCAGCTCGACGAGAGCCATCTGATGCTATATGTCGGCTCCGACTTCCAGGGCTTTAATGGCACC